TGCTGGTTTCTTTAAAGTGTAGCAAGAACTCAAGTGTAGGAGTCTGAGTCTCAAGTGGGTTCAGTATTACCTCCAGCTAATGATCTCTGCTGCTCTGACCAGGGCTCTATATTTGTGACATGAAGCAAGCAGTCATATACTGGCTAAAAGATGTCATTTTTTGATGCTGACATTCATAAGTACTTCAGAAATACAACCTGCCCCCAACCAATTGTGCACATTATCTTAATAACTGTACAGTACATTCTTGAAATCTGCTTTTCCCTGGCTGATGAGACTATAGTTGAGTCACTCAGGAAATTATTGAAGGGAACAAAAAGTGTTGAGAACAGAGAAACAATAAGACCTTTTAGTATGAAACATCATGGGTAAAGAACAGTGGCTGAGTGGGAGTTTTTCAAAATTGTGTTGAGTGGGGAAGTTTTGTGTGTTTTGAATCGACTCCACATTTCAAGAATCCCTAAGCAGTTATACATTCTAGTGATATAGAATTTTATTTTAAAATAGGCTGACTATATTTTAGTTGGTAGATATGTGCGTGCGTATTTCTGTCTTTCTTACGTCAGGTTAATATATCAAACAAGAATCTCATTTTCTAATCAGCTATGAGAAAACACACCCCTTTCTGAAAGTCTTCTACAAGGATGCTATAAACATCATCTGAACAGAGCAGAGAAGAACTGCTCTGTTCAGAGAAGAACTAAGGCTGCGAGAATAGGAAAGAGCAGAAAGAACTACTGCAAAATGCAACCCTATAGAATTTCCTTTGCCGGTGCCACGGGAGAATGGCATGGGGGAGGCTATAGATTCTGGCAGGAGCTGCTGGGGGCCTTTGAAAACTAAAGATTGAATCAGTAGGGGGGGAGTCATCTGAAAAAAGTATGTAATGGGAGGAAACTCCAAAAGCCTCTGAACTGTTCAGAAAACTCATAGTGGGTTCAGAAAAGGAGAAACAAAAAGGGAGCGGGAGATAAGAGAACAATGGCTATGGAAAGCAAAGTTCAATAGGAATTGTCAGTACCCAGTGGCTGGCAGCTATAAGAATCCAACCCACTGGGGAAAGATGTCATTCCATTGTAAGCCACACAGGAGGGGCTGTGGAGGGAATATTGTTTCCAGAATCCTTCGGACTCAAAGCCTAGAACCAAGCAAGGAGAGCAATACAAATAATTAAGGGAGTAGTGGAATTAACTTACAGGGAATTCTTTCTACTGTTCTTCACCTGGTGAGATCAAGTGTAGTATTAATTTCACATCAGATAGGTCTTCTATCAGGGAACTGTATCCTGTCCTGGCAAAAGATGATCTAGTAGATTTTTTCCATTCCCAACTTGGAGGACGTAACAAATTATGTATAGCTTGGGAAAGTGATGCACCGGGTCTGCTGCATCGAGGGCATATTTAAAAATATCTAAAACAAATAAACCCTAAGGAGGGAAAAGAAGTACAAAGTATTGCATTACAAAAGGAAAAACAAGAGCCTCTTTCCTTTGCATTTATACAGAATCTATATAGAGAAGGAAGTCCAACCTTATATTAGCCCTAAGTCATTGATGTTAAACCTTTTCAGTGTTTATTCTTTCATAACAATTTAGCTTATATTCCAAACCCATTTTGAGTAGCAAATATCATGTCCAAGTTGCGGGTGGAAAAATTGAGTCATTGAGAAGATATTTCATTTGCATTCAAATACAGAGCAAGTCAGTAAAAGAGACAAGAATATGACCCAATTTTCTGGCCAATGGAATAAAAACAGAGCTACAGGTCTACATATTTTTATCTAATTCAAGTTATAAGGAATTTTTATTATGGTTATAATTTACTCTATAATTTGTCACTCAAGTATTACTGCCCTACAATTAATGAAACATCTCTAATCTTCTTATTAGTAATGTAATGCATGCCACAATTGACAAAGCACTCCTTTTATACTCCTTTATTGGTGTACATTAATGATTGAATTCTCGACATGTTTTTAGGCTGCTTTGGTTCCTGTCAATATTTGCTGTCAAAAAAAACCCATTTGGGTTCCTGATTTCTTGAGTGAAGCTTTAAAAGAAGAAAAAGTGTCAAGTCAGGGAGTTAATGGCTCATTTTTCAATGTGGCTTTTCTTTGGCACCTATTCTGAAATTATCCATTTCATATGTCGCTTTTTGAAGGCCATTCTCAAATCATAAGTCTGCAATTTTAGAGCTAGTTGAGAGAATTTTAGAGCTGGTTAGAGCTATCTTCTGCCAAGTGAAAAGAGAGCTCTCTGGAGATGGGTTTGGTAGAGTGAAAAAGTCTGTCCCCAGAGTCAGGCAGCTTCAATTTGGAATCTTTATTTGCGTGACCTTGAGCAAATTAATCTCTTTGAGGATCCATATCTTCATCAGTACAATGAAGATGATAATACCAACCTCAGAAGTTTGTTGTGAGGATGTAGGTATTTGAACCCTCCACCTGTGTCTATTTTGCATTTTTGATGTTCTTACAATACTTCTCTTGAAGCAAGGGTTCCATGGTTAAGAGGTTTGAAAACCATTGACACAGCCTAACATTCATATTACAAATGGGGACAATGAGACCCAGAGCAATTGTCACTTTTTCGAGTACAGAAAACCAGTAGCAACTCCTAGCATTGGGCTCTTTTCACTACTGTAAGCCACCCATGAACCACGGAGAGGTTACATGGGGGCACATCACTAAAATTAACCTCCAAACAGGAAAAGGTGGTCATCCCATAGCATGTGCTTTACCATACTGTATTATTCTGGATGACCTTTACATGTCCCCTTACTGAAAACTATAATCTACTAGAGAGCATACATACTTGATTCAATGGGCTAGTATAGCAGTCAAGTTTTTCACAAACAATATGTTAACCTGAGCTCACTGTTAGGAAGATGTCCTCTGCAGATGCTTAATACATGAGTTGGGGTGGGGGCAATCTAATGAAACTTTTAACTTGTTAACCTTTTCCCAAACAGTCCCTATATTAATGTTTCCCCTCTTTCGTCCAAACTGCAGTGACAGAAATAGTCTATTGGTACAATATAGATCATCTTCTGTGAGTCTTATTTATACTGTTTTCATATTCTTATTTCAGGCCCCTATGATATTTCATCTAATCTAAGACACCGCCAATTGTAAAATACCATTATTTTATGTCCTGCCAAGAAATAAAGCAAATGTGCCAATTAAAATTGTAAGATACCATTGGTTGTAGGACACATTCTGACTTCAGATATTAAAGGAGGTACATCTTGGAATTAATCAAGTATGACTCTATATTTGCAACCATATAAGATATATCCTTCCCCCTGTCTTATGCCCTCTACTCCTCCTCACAGTCTAGGTCACCTGATATTTCCATTAAGCAGAAAAATAGCACAGGAGCCTCAGCCTTAGATTTTCCAAAATGCTTTTCTCTAAAATTGTGCTGTACCTGCCAAAGAGCTCCAGTTAAATAAATAAGTAAATAAAAGAAAAAAAAATTGTGCTGTATTAATATCTTAGCATATATGGTACATACTGATCAAAAATACTTCTTGGCTTGTTGGCCCTAGGAATGGCTCCATGAGGATTTACCTCACTTGTTATCTGCCACAAATACTTTGGATCTGTTCCTTTCTGTGAGATAGGCATTATTCTGGTAAGAGGGGGAGTTTTAAAGCCCCAAGGTGGGAAAAGTCACTTCCTGCTCTTGATAGGAGCAGAATACAGACCTGCTGCCAGGTTGCATGAATGTGGGCACTGGATACTTCCAGTATCATGGGTTAATCATTCCCCTGGCAACAGAGCTTGTACCAGGCAGTTCCAAATGGACCTTACTACACTTCCTAATGATTTTGTTTGGTGTGGTACCAAAATCATCCAGTCTGTGTCATAACAAAATATTTTGCTCCCTTTGCTCAAGCATCATTTTTATGCATAACATCAAAATGAAATTTCAACTTTTCAAACCCACATATCCAATTACTCATAAAGCAACGCTTTATCTTCCGTGTAAAAAAATTCTGTTCTACTTTTAAAAAAGTATTTAATGCTTGTTTTATGTGAGTGATACTACTGGTTGAAGGTGTTTTGCATTTGCGTTAAATATTTTCACCTTTTGACATTAGATGCAATATGGGCAAAATCCAAATTTACATATTCTCTTCCCAAGTTCAAATTACTGTGTCAGTATATCCAAACATAATTTAATGTTTAGAGTATGTCATGTTTATTAGAAAATATTTTATGTTTATTGCTGATGGAGATTAGTATGTTATCTTAATAAAGGACAAGAGTCAATGAGTTGTGATACAAAGGGAACTTGACTTTCTAGTACAATCCTTACTCCTTACTGAGCCACACAGGCATGTGTGTGGGAGAAGGTAGAAGAGTATCAATTCCAGAGACCTAAGGCAATGAAGCTGCAGGACGTTATGGAAGGGAGGAGGTGGCTTAGGAGGTGTAAATGTCTCCCTTCTCCGTGGTATATGTGAAGGAACCTCCAGGAGGGCTAAGGTGTGGGATGGCTTTTGCAGATGCTCTTTCCTCCTTTCCTATCATTATGTGTTCCTTCCTCATCCCAGAGAGGGGAAAATAATAGGCACCACAGGAGGGCAACAGCCAGAACAAACTATCTTCAAATGCTTCTATTTAATAGGGAATCATAAAATCACTGCACAGACCTATGGATGAGTGCCAGAAATGTGGAATAAATGGAAGCCAAATTTTCTTTTGCATATTTTTGTGCTGTCATTATAGCAATTTTCCTGAGATAAAAAGCTTTGAAGATGTACTTTTCAGACTCATTTTCCTCACAATGATTACCGTCTCAGAGAGTGTCATAGCAATTTCTTACTTTCCTTGAGCTAAATCTACCCTATTTTCTCTTTTAGGCAAATATTAATATTCCAATGGGAGCCTTTCGGCCAGGAGCTGGGCAACCCCCCAGAAGAAAAGAGTGTACTCCTGAATTGGAGGAGGTGAGGAAAACTTAGCTAGCAGAGCTCAGCAATGTCTTTCCCCTTCCAAATCCTCACTACAGGGGGCAGAGGCAAGGTGAGGACCGGCTCTCCAGGACAAGGGAGAAGGCGAGTGACTGTGTGTCAAGGAACCACAGTTAGTCTATACATTTCTTTAGTTGTCTTGCTCAGTCACCCATGAAACACACTGCCCCTCCCTTTCCTTCAGCATTTAAGTACTGTACCTGATGCAGTTACTTCAAGGTACCAAGTTTAACTTCCAGTCTGTTGATTGATTGATTGATTGATTGATTGATTGTGTGTGTGTGTGTGTGTGTGTGTGTGTGTGTGTGTGTGTGTGTTGTGGTGGGCAGAGAGGACATAGCCTCTCAGATGCTTTTGGTTTAGCGATAGTCACTAGATTGGTAAGTTTTCACCTGGGAACTTTTATGGAAGCGAGCAGCATGTATTTGGTACAGCTTCTGATGAGTGAGGAATCCCAGTGGGAGCCCAGGAAGTAAGCACATTAAATCACTTGGGGATTCAAACAAGCAAACAAAAACTCAATCGCTGAATGTTTCCTTTGAAAAGGGGATTTTGCAAGAGAATCTGTTAAGCCTCCATTTCTGTATTTTTTCTTTTAATTCTTTACTTCTCCCCCAAATTCAATCACCTGGTCTGCTAAAATGGAGGCTAAAATTAATAATGAATGCAGTAAATAGGGAAGAGTTCCCTCCTCAGATGTTTAGATTTCTTACCAAATTGTGACTTTTCTGATGAGACCTGGAAGGTCTGATTCTAGAAAAAACAAAGTTAAGATTTTGGAGCATTTTATTAGCACAAGACAAGGAAAATGGAATTAAATAAAGCCACAAGCCACAAGGCATAGCAAAGTATATTTTATCTTTTTAAAAAGTTAAAAAGACTTTTTAACTTTAACGGGTAACATTTTTTGGTATTTGCCCCCAAAAGAACATCTATTCCTAATAAACTTTTGTCCTGCATCTAACCTTCTTTCCTGTGAATATTTCTGGTGTGCTCCTAACTTAGTGGTTCCAGCCTCCTATCAATAGAAAGATAATCTTTGAAAGGAGGAGATGGAGTATTTGAGTGACATCATCGAGTTCTGGAATTTTAGCCACTAAGTTGACAAATACAAATTTTGAACATACAAGTTGAAAAGGCCTGGCCCTACCCTGTTTTTATGGTTACATAGTCTGGTGTTGCTCACTTTGCCATCCAGATATCTCATTATCATGAGCTCTCCATCTGGGACTTTGGTCAAGTATTTCTGAGTCTGTCCCCTCCATTCCTCAGAGGGTCACTGTGAGGAGTCAGTGATATAATGGACATGGCAATAGCCTAGTAGGTATTTTATAAAAGATTGTTCATCAATTGATCTAATTATCCAATTTTCATGAAGGACTCCTGAGCCTATTGATTTTGCACGTTGTAAGAAAAAGGCAGTGGGGAAGTAGAAGGGATGACAGTGGAATTCTTCCTGTGCCCCCATTTATCTGTAATTAGATTTTTCCTCCTGTGCTTCTTCTTAAACTGTATCTGTCACTACCATGGCAATCAGTCAGAAGGTAGCTTGACCCTCTTTTCTCACTAAATTAACTGATCTAACAGTTGTTTTGGAGGCTTGCATCTCATCTTCCATCTGTGGTACAGATGGCCACTGGTTGTTTTTTTTTTATAACTGGTACATTCTTCCACACAAGTGGAAGAAAGGGGCCTGAAGAAGCACTTTGCTCTCACTCTTTCCTTTTCCCCAGTCTGATGGTTCCAGCACATTCTAAAATAGCTAATAACTGATACACCTACTTTATAACCAGCCACATATACAAATGGCCAACCCATATTCATCACAGGATGGAGGGAATGAGGTATCCACAGAGGTCCAGAAACCCCAGTGTTTCTTAAACTGTGCCACACCTTTCTCATGGGGTTCACTGGGCAGAAGGGTGGATCTAGGGGTGGCATTCCCTTATCATAAAAGCAGAAATGAACTTTCAGGATTCATGAAGTCCTAGGGAGGCAGTGAGATTTAATGACTCAGTCTCTGGGCCAGACCTCAGAATAAGTTTCTCATGGAAACAACACTGTAAGGCTAGTAGGTAGGCAGCTTGGCTTGGCCACAAGGTGGGTTAGGTAGGATTTAGTGGGTTAGCTTGAGGCCCCAGCCACATTTTGAGGCACAGTTTGAATGAGAAAATGGAATCTGAATTCAAAATGACTTATACATCCACATTCGTTATCATTTAGTTTGCAAACTCGAAATTGCTTACTTTCATAGATTTTTTGAATGGGAAAATGGAATCTGAATTCAAAATGACTTATAGGTCCATATTTGTTATCATCCAGTTCGCAAACTCAAAATTGCTTACTTTCGTAGATTTGGGATTTGTCGCCTAGCCTTGCATTAAGATAATTACTGTATAAAGTGAAGATGTGGAGATCATAACATACCTTCTATGATCAGAACAGGTCACGTCTATCACAGCCAGTAGGTCGCCCATATAAACTCAGGTTTTTTTGATCCTGACACCCTCTCAGATGTGAAGAGGATGCACCCCAGCAGGAAGCCAGGACAAATCTTTGGCTGTCTGACAAGGCCTGTGAGTACTGGCTATGTCTTCAGCCCGCCTGTGGTCTGTGGTGAGCCCTTTCCTCTGCTTACAGAGCTGGAGTACAAGCCCTCTGTCTGCTTGGCCCAGCCAGAGGTGCGCATGTGCCAGAGACAGAGGCCTTACAGCCAAATCCTAATAAGCAGGGCTGGTCTTTTGCATAAGAAAAGCAACTGTTTTGCTTGAAGTAGTTTGAAGGGTATTGACAAGACTCCACTAAACCTCCCAAATCTCTCATTTGACTGAAACACCATCACTATTAAGCCACAAAATAGCACATTGGGATTTTCTGTTAATTATTTCCCTTTCTACCTGGTCCCTTCATGAGATGCAAACATATTTAATTCTGGTCCAGCCACTTCCTAGCTGTGTGGCCCTGGGCAAGTTTTCTTAGTCCTTCTGTGCCTGAGTGTCCTCGACTGTGAGATAGGCATAATAATAGCACCAGATTTATGGAGTTGAAGTGAGGTTTCAGTGAGTTAGTACATGTAACTTAGAACAGCAAGCAGTGTAAGTGCTTGCTGTTATTACTGTCTTCAGTGTTTGAACATGAATGAGCAGGTCAGATTGTACTGCCCCACACAGAGAGCTTAGGGAAAAACTCAGTAGGGCATCTGGTAGTAAAACGGGAGATGAGAGGAAAGTGAGATAGCTGGAAAATGGTTCACCATTTAGCAAAGTTTTACAAATACTCTGTAACCCCCCAAAGGAAAGATTTCCCTTCAGAACAGCCATTCCTGAAACTGGTAGGAATGGTTCTGTGGCTGATAAGGCTTCTTTCACACACTCTTTATCTAAACCAAAGAATGTCTTTCATGTCCCTTCTTAATTCAAATATCTACTTACAAAAGAAAAAAAAAAGAATGTATTTATTAGCCAAACAGGGCCATCTGGAACCCCGCTTGTTCATGCCTTAATTTACTATAATTCTTATAATAACAAATCCATAGAATAAATGGAATCTGATTGCTATTATGTTTTTAAAAGATGAGAGAAGATTTAGTTAAGAAAACGCACCAGTCTACGGCCATACCACCCTGACCGCGCCCGATCCCGTCTGGCCTCAGAAAATGCACCACCATTAACCCCCTTCCTGAGTCAATATAATAATGTCTAATTACTAAATATAATATATCCACTTATAATTTTCCATTATATGCCACCTTACCAAACCAAAGGCTAAAAGTATTACCTTGATAAATAAAAAACAGTGCATTAAGGTTTTAATAACTTGAAAGAAAAGTGCCTAATATTAAATATTATCATTAATCTGCATGTGTTCACATGTTTACACATAAACACGTAAGTACAGACATTGGCTTTATGTGTTAAATGTGCCAATTTTGATGTTATGAAGACAGTGAATGTGACTTACCCAGGAATTTAACAGAAGGAATTGGAAACATTTTTCTCCTTCATGCTTCTTTATTAAGATCTACCCACCTAACAACCGTGGGAACATTTATAAGTGAGGAAACATTTTTCATTTCACCGCTACACATATTAAAAAAAAAACATGCAGCACTTTATAGCCTCGTTAAAAATTTCTTTCTGAAAGCCTAGCAAAGAACGTTTGGAATACCTAGTCCTCTAAGTAGATGTTTTACAGTTTTAATTATTGCTTCTAAACCTGCATTTATAAATGATGAATATGTGTGCATAATGAAAAGCAGCCACTCCTGTGGCTCTGTACGTTGATCCGGGGGAACGATATTTTCCAGATATATACAGCAGGTGTAGTCTACACTGAATTACTTGATCATTTTGTGTGGGTGACACATTAGCTATTTCATCACCACTGTACCAGGTTCAAAGAAAATGACTATAGGAAAAACCATTAGCCCTTAGTAGAAGAACGGCACCTCAATATTTTATATGTCTACTCATCCCCTCCAATAAGCACTTTAAACACATTTCTATAAAGGCCATGTCTGCCAAGTAATTTGTTAGCGTTTGGGGAAGCTTGAATACTTTTTTCCTCTAAGTTCTAACCAATTTGAGAACTAGATATAGGATCCAGCCGGGGATTAACACACAGCATCAGCATTAATACCCAAATGGCAAGGCTGCGGGGCAGGCAAGTGTGCAATTTCTTATTCCTTTTCCCTGGAACTGTATGGGTCCACCCAGTTGTTGGCCAAGCAGAGGGAGCTCTGCCAGTCTTGCACTGGGGACTGTGTTAGTTTGGGTCCTTCAAGAAGCAGACTCAAACATATTTATTGGGGAAAACACTTGTAAGGAAAAATGGAGCTGCATGAGGTTGAGAGAACAGTCAGCCCGTGAAACAGGGGAAGGAGAGGACACAGGAGGGCGGAAGCATCTCTGACCTCAGTGCCGTTCTAAGGCCAATCTCCAGCTGGCAGAGCAGTCCTTCGGCTCCCAGGAATGGGCCCGCCTTAGGATTCCTGTTGCATTTTGTCATTGGCTGGGAGCAGCCGTGGGAAGCCTGACCTCAGCGTGGTGATGGATGGATTTCAGGGTGAAACAGCTGGCGCCATCATTCAGTTACCCTCCCTGCAGTAAACCGATCTGAGACGTGTTCTTATGGCTGCTACTGTGATCAAATGTTCTTCCAACACCTTTCTCCAGGGCGGGGTGGGGGGGATATGCCTCCCCACTTCTAGCAAATAGAAGGAATGGGCTAACAAGCAACTTTGTTCTGTAGTAATGAGTTGGAGTTCTCAGAGCCACGCACAGCAACTGATCTTATTGTTTTGTAGTCACTGTTAAATGTGTGTCCGGTATATGTACATAGAGGCATAGATCTGTCACTATTGTACACTCTTGGGATTAATCAGTTGAACAACAATCAACAAATATGTGTGTGCACCTCTGTGCCAGGCATTGGAGGAGCCACAAAAAAGGATAGGATGTGGGTCCTGCTGTAAAGCTGAGACACAAGCAATATTTAATGATAAGAAATTTAAAATATTCCCCAAAGCAGGAAGGGAGAGCTGGGCCTTCTCTGTCGCTGTTTTCCATCCTGCCCTTATTCAGAGAGGCTTTGCTTATGTTCCTTTCAGTCCTGAAGATGTCATTGGAACAAAGGCTGGCAGCCACTGCACGCCAAACAAAACTTTGAAAATTCTTGGACTCAGTCATTGTTAGAGCCAGCTGTGCACTAACATTCTATGAAACTCTGCTGTCGGGCAGATTATGATCATATGATACCAAATTAAATCCAATATTGTAAGATACTTCTCTTGGAAACACAAATCCTTCTGATGGTAATTTTTATTAGTTATCAGGGGTTGAACAGTACTTTAGTGTTTTCTAAGTCACATGGAAATTACTTGTTTTCTTCTTCCAGCTTTATTCCACATTTCGATACAAACTTTAGGAGATCTTATTGAAACTCTGAGGCTGTCTCAACAACACAAAAGAAAGTCATTCTGCTAGAATCACCCTCTGACATTATTCTTGCTTTAATTTTTTTTTCTGGTTCATGCCCATGACCCAGAGGATCAAATGTCTTTTTTGGTGAGTCAAACTTCCTCTCCTTTTTCTTCAGGGTGCTCCTCCTACTTCGGATGAGGAGAAGAAGCCAATTCCAGGAGCGAAGAAACTTCCAGGACCTGCAGTCAACCTATCGGAGATCCAGAATATTAAAAGTGAACTGAAATATGTCCCCAAAGCTGAACAATAGTTGGAAGAAAAAAGGTGAGTGAAAAACTATTTTCTTTGTCTCCAAAAGACCACTATAAAATAGTTTAAGGAAGCCTTTCGCAGAAAGAATCTGGAATTCCAGAAGCGTTTATTAAGTAACAGGGGCCTTCAATTTAGAACAGTATTTCTGGTGCAGTTTTCTGGTAAAGCCAAGCTTATGGACCTGCCTTATTCCATAATCAGTCAGAGATCCATTAAGGATGTTTGCCTGCCATCCCCTTTCTGATCCTCCTTCTTGGTTGGGGAAGGATGAAGCTGAGAGAAGAAAGATACCTGGGAAAGGACCTTGAGGAGCTTTTGATCTTGGGGTCCAGGGAGCCGTTCCTCATTCCATGCCTCAGTTTCCTCACTCAGATACCACAAAGAGCAATGAGCTGTTCCTGAGGTGGAGGATCAAAGGAGCAAGTTGCCAAGCAGGTTTGGAAGTATAAAGGAGCCTTTAAACAAGTAACCCAGGTGTCTGTAAGACCTGGTAATGACTCTTGATTGTCGACCAGGCAAGGGTAGGTGCAAAACTGTACATGCTGCCTGATAAGGCACTGTAAGCAGGGCATGTGATCTGATTTTTATTTTAATTGGGTCCATTAAATAATGATCCCTGGTGAGGGCTCAGCCCACCCGTCATCTGCAGACCTGGCTCCTGTGGACTGGTGTGGCAACTCTGCCAGCAGGGGGAGTGTGGAATTAGCCCAAGTCATCGCTTTTTCTCCTACAAGACCCTCTGAGCAAATCTACCCTTTCCCAACACTGCTAAAGCCCACCATGCACAGTCTATTCCATTTCTTCAGCAGAAATTCAAGTCTAGAGGAGAGGACTCTATATTGGAAACATCAAACAGGTTTTTATCTGGTTGATTGTCCTTTCATTCATCCATTCATTTGTCCACTCACCCATTTATTCAACCAATATTTATTGAGTATCCACTATGTGCTGAATATTAGAAACATTAATCACCATGAGCAAGATACTGTGTAAAGAGCATTATACATACATTGTTTCTTTTAAACCTCATGATCCCCAATTATAGCCCTCATTCTTGAGATGAGCCTTAGAGAGACTGATTTTTCCCGTCTAGCATGCATCCTGAAAAGGGGGTCCAACTTCAACGTTAGCGCTGTCACCTACTTCAACCCCATCCTCCCACCACACCTTACAGATGGATTGCACACTTCCTGTTGGTGTTGGGGTGAAATCTTCTGACCACATAGCTGGCAGAAGCAAGCGGTGGGGCAGATGGGGCCCTGCTGTGTCTTCTCTTTTAGACAGAACGAAGAACAGAATGTTCTGTGAGACAATCCAGTGTGGTGTGGCAATGTTATTTGTGTCACGCTTATGCTGACTTACTAGGATATTTGCAAGTTAGTTCTGCTGAAAAGATTTCTTTATAGTATAGAGAAAGAGAGGAGCTGTTTTGAGTTAAAACAAAAGAACAGGATCTGGTGTTTTCAGCACAGTTACGTAAAAGAACAAAGGAGTAAGAATAAAACACAGTAGATTATGTGACCACAGAATGACTCTCAGGAACCTGGATGCAGACGAAGTGACGTGAGCAGGAACTGACCTGACACATGGCTACACACACTTGTTAGTATTAATGACAGAGAGGAACAAATTGATGACTAAGTATCATACTCAGTCCTGCTTGTGTTGCCAAGCTGAGATGAAATCTTCCAGTATGTTTGGGATGAAGCTGTAGAACTTCCTTGTGAGAAAGCGTGGAGAAGGGAAATTAAGTTTTCATAATATTTATGTCATTACCCAACCAAAGCTTTTCAGTTGGACACATGAATTTTTAATGCAAACTTTAAAGGTTTTTGCTTTTATGAAATCCATGTTGACCTAAGTTTAATCTCAGTTTGTTTCAGAAGAATTTGGCTTTGAAGATTCAAAGGAATTCTGTTTTAAAATGAGCTCAGAGAGGATCTTGCAGTGTTACTTGGCAGTGGGATTGATTCAGTAGCCTTGGCTATATGGTTACAGGCAATAGGGGAAAATACCAACTCAAAAAAATATTGAAAAGGTACCAGAGTATCCAGAACAAATTTTTGTTACTTCATTTTTCTCAAAGAAGACTTTAATGATTCTTGTCTCCTGAACAAATTCTAATGCAAAACCACTCAGAGAGACCTATTTGTCCTTATTCTTACAGAAATGTGAAAATCTAAGTTGTCAGGGTAATTGATTTGAATTCCAAATGAGTACAGTTATTGTTTTAAGCCAAGAAATGATCTTTATTTCTTGTAGGATGGATAGTAAGCTGGTTTGCTTTTGACTCATTTGTTTTTCTCCTGAAAATATGTCTGAGATTTTGAGACTTCCATGGTCATGATCTGTGATCACAGAAGGAGAGCATTTCTTAACATTGATTCAATGGACTCATAAGCAATAAATACTCTGGACCAGTCACCACCACTTAACCCCTCACTGGTTGAATAGATTTCCTCCTTCTTGGGCCACCACTTTGTCACCCACCCTCACCCTATATTGTCCAATTATTTGATCAAATAGATCATTGGTTTGAAGATTGAATAAGTCCATCGTGTCCATATTGTCAAACACTGTGAAAACCATGAGATTCAAGGCTCAAAGACCACATTGTGCTGTAACTATTTCAGTACTTCAGACATATAAAACAGAGTAGTATCTCATTCCAGCTGAGATCAGTTCCTTCTTTTAAATGGGATTTCAGATTCTTCCCATGTCTTGTGTCATGGCCAGAATTGTTCACAGAAATCAATTAAAAACATTACAGAACAAGAACCAGAAAGGCCAATGACTAGCCCATTAGGGATCAGGAATCATGGCTTGTAGAAAAGGACTTAGGGCCTGGACTTAATCAGGAACCAGACCAGGCAAAATAGAGACAGCATGTACCACGTCAAAACCAAAAGACACAGCAGTGTCCCAAATGGGACCCCAATCCAGACTAGAACTGACATGGGGCAGGGAAGGTAGGATGTTTAGCCGTAACTTTTGGGATTCTCCTGGCTGTGATTTAAGGTGGCCAGATGGTGATTTAAGAAAAGTCTAAGAGCCAGATGAAGAGGCAGCACCAGAAGCAAAGTCTGAAAACTAGGCATCCTTCAACACTCATCTGCTGCATTATCAGGAATCCTGCAGGTCACCACCACAAGCCACTGTCAGCTTGTTTGCTTGTAGCTGTAGCAGATGCCACCTCAGGCTTCATGGACAAAGGTCTGGGGAACCTAGAGAACTGCTCAGGGCTGGTGTCCAAACAGACTCTATGTCCATTTCTGCTCCCTCCCAACTCTCAGATCAGAGGACACGTGCTCAGTAAAGAATTCTTGTAACTAGCTTCTGTACCACGGGTACTTTCTTCTTTCAGTCCTAAGATGGATAGATACAAAATTTGGTCCCTTCTCTCAGGATACTTAAGGTGTTTGTTTTTTTTTGTTTGTTTTTAGGATACTTAAGTCTTGATGGAAAGATAAAGTACTTCAAAAGGTAGATAACAATTCAAGAATTAGATAGCAGCTCAGTTATTAAAGATATCCCAGGGCTATGTATGACCCAGTAATAAGTAGGCAGTAGAGATAATCAATGTTATGACTTTTGAGGGGGAAAGGTGTGATGATTTGGGGTCAGGGACAATTTCAATGAGGTGGTGGGAATGGAAAGGTTTAAGCAGAGGCTCAGAGATAGCCTCTGAACATATGCAATGTCCAGGGCATCATTAGGAGACCAGCCTAGTGAAACCAAACTGTTCTTCTAGGATAAAACTTCCTAAACTTTGGGGCAGAGCAAAATAAGACCCCATGATCTGCCTACCGCATTTCTTCTCTTTTTCTAGTGGTAAAAGAGCTCACTGATATCAAAGAATTGGAGAGGAACAAAGTAAGTATCAAAGTGGTAACAATGCAGCAATTACAAGAAAAGAAATGATTAACAAAGGTAAAACCTAAGAATAATTTTATAATTATTCTAGTGAGCAGCAAGTGAAGGCCTTAGGACTGATGAAGCTCTGGAAGGAAACTTATTTTGAAGTTATAGGAATCCCTTCTCTCTCTGTTGGACACTGCAGCATGGCCAGATGTGTGGCAGTCAGACTTCATGATTATGTACTTCACTAGGGTCTCAGAAAAATGAAAAACTTTAGTGATTCTTAATAACTCACTTAGTAGCCTTTGGTCATGTACAGAAGTGAAAACCTATAGAATTAATCCCCATTTGCCATTAAGAACTAAGGAAAGCACTTGAATTTTTGCACTGGGAAGTCTTTTGAGGTGAACTAGTAGGCCCTGGACTATACCTTAAGAAACATTGCTGTAGGGCAAGAAATGAGAGTGAGTTGGAAGGATCTGCAACTCCCCTGAACCCATATGCAGCCCCATAATCTCAAGTTAGTCTCTATCCCATACTCCACATCAACTAACCAGTCTTGATTCTGGATTTTGAAGATTTGGAAAGAATCATTATAATGCCCTTTGAGGGGAGGTATGCCTTCGTCTTAGCTCAGGCTGCTATAACAAAATACCATAGAGTGGGGGGCTAAAACAACAGACATTTATTTCTCACAGTTCTGGAGGTCAAAAGTCTGACATAAGGGTGCCAGCATGGTCAGGTTCTAGTGAGGACCCTCTTCCTGGCTTGCAGATGGCTGTCTTCTTGCTATGTCCTCATGTGGTAGAGATAGGAAGCTCTGATGTCTCTTCTTCTTCTTATAAGGGCACTAATTCTATCATGGCGGCCCTACCCTCATGACTACACCTAAATCCAATTAACTCTCAAAGGCCCTATCTCCTAATACCGTCACATTGGGGGTTAAGGCTTGAATATATGAATCGGGGGGGACTCAAACATTCAATACAGGACAGCCCTCTTCCTCCAGCACTCTGCCCCACCCCTAGCATCTTCTGTTTATGCTGTCATAATACTTCTCAAATTGTAATAGATTGGTTTTCTCATTTATATCTTCTTCATGATGCCGACATATAGCTCCTTAAAGGCTGCAGTGCCTATGATACATATTTGGCACACAGGGCACGTCTATAGGATGTTACTGGTGCCCTGACTATAGCACGTCTAGTGTCCCCTAGAAATGTAGACATTCCAAATCCTTGTATTCTTAGGGAGATTACTGCTTAAAAGCAAGACTAGCTTCTCTCCCAAGGGCTAAAGGTAACATTGTTGACCATATTCAGTAATGGGCTTGGAAATTTGACTTTAATTCATTGATTATATTCCTCTGGAAAATTGAAAAATTAGAGAAAATATCAAGTTAGGTAAGTTCTTAGCCCTCAAAGGGGAGAAAGACATGTAAAACCAGAAGAAAACTTACTTTTCGAGAATTCTTTGGCTTTATTTTTCAAAGAACATCTATGTCCAGATAAGACATATTTACCAACCAGTCATCCAGAAAGATGTCATCTCTGATAGAGGAGAACATAAGGTGCTCATTACTCTTAAATGTTAAGCATTATGCATCGCCATCATTCCTGCTGATTCAAGGGCTAATTTTGAGAGTGTTGGCAGGAGGGCAAATTGATGTACCCAGCTACTTGATAAAAAGTACATTTAATACCTAACAACAGACCCCCAAAATACATGAAGCAAAAACTAAGAGAACGGAAGGAGAAATGGACAATTTAACGATAATAATTGAGAACTTTAATACCCCGCTTTCAATAATGCCTAGAACTAGACAGAAGATCAATAAGGAAATAGAAGACTTGAACAGTACTGTAAACCAAATACACCTAACAGACATATAATGAACACTCTACCCACCAACAGCAGAGTACACATTCTCCTCAAGTGCACATGAAACATTGTCCAGGACAGACCACATGTTAAGCCATAAAATAAGTCTCAAATTTAAAAGGATTGAAATTATGCAAAGTATGTTCTGTGACCATAATGGAATGAAATTAGAAATCAATAACAGAAGGAAGTTTGGGGAATTCACAAGTTGTGGAACTTAAACAACACACTTCTAAATAACTAAGGAGTCAAAGAAGGAATCACAAGATAAATTAGAAAACACTTTGAGATGAATGAAAACAAAAATACCTTTTAATAAAAGCCATTCTAACTGGGGTAAGGTGATATCTCACTGTGGTTTTAATTTGCATTTCCCTGATAATTAGTGACGTTGAGCATTTTTTCATATGTTTATTGGCTATTTGTCTATCTTGTTTTGAAAAGCTGTTATTTATACCCCTGTAATATTTTGAAACAATAATAATAAAAAAACAGAACATACCAAAACTTATGAGATGCAATGAAAGCAGTGCCTAGAGGGAAGTTTATAGTTATAAATGCTTATATTAAAAGAGAAGAAAGATCTCAAATCAATAACTAACCAATCAAATCAGTATTAGCAGCTCCATGTTTGGGAAATGTGCCCTTTATCATCCTGGAGTAAACTTACAATTAAATTGACATGTGAATGGAAATATCATCCTTTCAAATGGTAAGGCATAATAAGTTTAACAAATTTATTTATATAAACACTATAAAAATGTAACAGAAACTGAGAAATAAAAAATAATTGCCCAGAAAATCTCCATCTTTGCATAATACTCACTTTGATATCTCCCCTTCTAGTCTTTTCCTCTGGATTTACACATATGGGTGCGATACAACCAAGTTGCTAACAATATGGTGATTTGGGATCATGAAGACTTGGTCTCATTTCCTTCTACTGTTGCAACTTTGAGCTCTATGTCTCTATTTTCTCATTTCATAAAAAGCAGAAAATGACACTTCTCTCATAGGGTAGTTGTGAAAGATTAGGGAGATATATTTTTAAAAGTATCTCTAGGCACAGGACCTGGGATGGGGTCACCAAATGGGAACTGGTTCTCCCCCTAAAATTTTTTTGTTATGTGGCATCATTCATGGTACTTGTATGGCTTTATATATTGCTTCTTCCACTTTACATTTTATCAGAAGAATATTTTTCATTTTGCTTTGCAGACTTCAGAATTAAGATGATTTATTTCTCATAGTCTTAACTTATCATGATTTCCTAACCTTTTCTCTCTGCCAGAAGACAGAGGACTGATTTATTGTTTTACATAGAACTCAACTTAAAAAACAAAAAACTTCTCCAAATGTCTTCTCTGTGGTTTGCGGAAATTTTTTGTCCTCAATTTTGAAATGTTCCTTGCTTTGACCCAATTACAGAGCTTTATTCACTTTCTCTGAAGGAAATGGTTTTATGCTGAGATTTTTCACTTTCTAGTGAGGGTATATTTCTTTTGATTTGTGATGCTCTTTTTTCTGCTCTTTACTTGGTTAGGATAAAGACAACTTTTACAGTGGTCTGAACTGCATCAGGTTTTGTTCATTTGTTTTCCTGCCTGGCAAACCTCTTGTTCTAGGCCAGGTTATAGCCTATGTGGGTGTAAAGGACTCTTGAGAGTGAATACAAGAAGGCTTTGAGTTGATTGTGGCAGTTGGTTTAAGAGCCTCTCCACAGCAAACACACAGAAGCTGCCTGGATGGTTTCTATTAAAACAGAGATCTGGATGGTCTAGTGTGTGAATTCTCAGGAGGGAGTTGGAATTGGTGAGCTAGCTTTTAGGGAATAGACTTGAGATCAGAAAAGCACATGTGCTCCAGCCAGCTTGGTGGAAGGCAGAGGTGATTCAGGACCCAATTCTGTAGATCCTCATACACTGGCATGTAAATTTCCACAGACCAAAGGACAGCTACGACTGGCACTTGCCCTGCTCCCAATGTAATGGAACTCATTATTATATTTCAGAGGTTCTCAATGGGGGGCGGGGATGGATTTTGACCCACAGGGGACATTTGGCAATGTCTGCAGACAGTTTGGGTTGTCATACCTGGGGAGAGGGGTGGGCTGCTACTGTCATCTAGGGGGGAGAGGCCAGGGATGCTGTTAAATGTCCCACAATGCGCAGGACATCTCCCTACAACAAAGAATGATCCAGCCCCAGATGTCAATAGTGCTGAGAGTAAGTAACCCTGATTTATCTGCTTGAAAGGTTGATGTCAGGTCCAGCTTGCTGCATACTTTCCTTTCCAAGCAATCAATGCATTGCATTTACAGAAATTAAAATGTTAATAAAAAGAATATAGTAATTAATTTCCCAATATTTATAATCTCTTCACAGTAATTAGAGACTTAAGGATGAAGCACTCTTAAATATGATTCTTTTGTCAATTGATAAATTAAACATATTTATGGTATATAGTATATATGGAAAATCCCTGAGTTATGGTTTTAAGCCTCAAACCCAACTATTCTTTATAGGTTATCTTTTCATCTCAAATATATCAGAAAGCAGTAGGTTATGTCAGCAGCTCACCAAGTCTTTTAAAATATTACTGTTTAGCATTAATAATCATCAGTACTAATATGAGTATCATTTTTATTATCTTCATTAGCATTACCATTTATTATATGCTTGTGATATGCCTGGTACCATATCTTGTGCTTCACGTACATTATTTCATTTACTCTTTGTGCTGACTGCATAGGGCCGTTTTGTTTATGGGGGAACAAAGGCTGAGAGTTTATGTTACTTGACCAAGGTCACCCAGCGTGTAAGTCACAAAGGTGATGTGCAAACCATCATCTGTCATACTCCATGGCCAGTCTTTTCAATCCTGTCACCCACTGTGCTCTTTAAAAATGTTCTTTCAGGTATAGTCTTTGCAAATATTTCACCATGTTGGGTCAGAGTAAAGCAAGCAAAGGCTAAAGAGACTATGGAAACTGTTGCCTCCACAAAGAGGAACACTGAGCTGCAACTCCGATAAGTTGGTTTATTTGTTCCTTTGTTTGCTTGTTGTTTGTTCGTTCACTCATTCATTCCTTTGGCCAATCAGTCAGCATCTGTTAAGCAAAAGGATGCACCAGGTGCTCAGTATGACAGGCACTGGAGATTGAAATATGAGTCAGAGTGTCTACCCTCGTT